GAGTACTAGTAAATATGTAGAACATGCCACACTTCCTTGAGTATAAATCTCAGTTCCCATTTAACAGAATAATGAGTTTGGGCTACTATTTAATCTGAGTCATTGTATTTCCTCATAAATAGTTAATACCACTATCAACAATTCAGGAAAGTTGTGATGATTACACAAAATAATGTTCAGAAAAAGCATGAAAAACATCTTTCTCCTTTTCCCACTTGACAAAACTCAATATCTGCAATACCAAGAGCTAATTTTATCATGATCAATGTGTCTTCCACTGATTCCATATTATAATTTAGTTAGTAAATCTGTAGATTAGCTTTAGCTGGTATTTAATAACACAAACCAGTAACAAATGGGGTTAAAAAAAAAAAAGACTTGTCTATTGGGCTTATTTATCCAAAGAACTGGGTTTTGGTTCCACTGATCTTTTAAACTGCTTTTTTGATTTTTACTTCATTACTTCCATTCTAATCTTTGTTATTGTCTTCCTTAAAGTGGATTTTTATTTCATTTGTTCTTTTTCTAGTTCTTTAAATTATAAGGTTAGGTTATTTGAGATCTTTCTTGCTTTTTGATATAGATTTGTACTGGTATATAGTTCCCACTTACTACTGTTTTTGCTATGCTCCATAATATCTGGTAGTTTGTGTCTTATTTATGTTCTACTCAGATATTTCTCCTTTTTTTTCCTCATTAATACAATAGTAATTGTATTGGTAATTCAGTAGCATGTTGTTCAGTCTCCACCTATTTGAGGTTTTACCTCAAAATAGATATTATAATAATAATATAACATCTGGTACTGGAAAAACTGGGAAGCTTACATGCAAAAAAATGAAACTAGATCACTACCTCACTCCGTTCACAAAAATCAACTCGAAGTGGATTAAAGACCTAGACATAAGAACGGAAACCATAAAATACCTGGAAACAAAGATAGGTCAAACACTACACGACATACACTTCAGCAACATCTTTAAAGATAGAGCACCCAATGCCACAATAGTGAAGGCAAGGTTAAATAGACGGGACTACATCAAGTTAAAGACCTTCTGTACAGCAAAAGACATTATGAGAAACAGACAGCCCACTAATTGGGAAAAAAAATTCTCACACAAAACCAGTGATAAAGGATTGATCACAAAAATATACGGAGAACTGACGTAAAAAAAAAATAAATAACTCCATCAAAAAATGGGCAGAAGAGCTAAAAAGACACTTCTCCAAAGAGGAAATGCAGATGGCCAACAAATATATGAAAAAATGTTCAACATCACTTGTAATAAGGGAGATGCAAATTAAAACCACAATGAGATACCACTCACCCCAGTGAGAATGGCACATCTTCAAACAACTAGCAACAACAAATGTTGGCAACGATGTGGAGAAAAAGGAACTCTCCTGCACTGCTGGTGGGAATGCAAACTAGCAGAACCATTATGGAAAACTGTTTGGAGGTTCCTCAAACTGCTTAAAATGGAGCTTCCCTACGACCCAGCAATCTCACTCCTAGGTATCTGCCCAAAAGACACAAAAACACTGATTGAAAAAGATACCTGCACCCCCATGTTTACTGCTGCTTTATTTATAATTGGAAAAGCATGGAAGCAGCCCAAATGCCCAAAAGTAGATGACTGGATTAAAAAGATGTGGTACATATATACAATGGAATAGTACTCAGCAACCAAAAAAAAAGAAACACATGTCTTTTGCAGCAACTTGGATGGAGCTGGAAAAGATCATGCTTAGTGAGATAAACCAGAAAGAGAAAGAAAAATACCAGATGGTTTCACTCATAACAGCAGTATAATGGACCAGGCTAGAAAATAATAAAAATAATGAACAGCTATACACCAGAGACATTTTGTGGGGGTGGAGTTTGTGAGGGTGGAGTGGGGAATGGGATCAAAAATGGGGAAGGGAAGTGCACGGCACTATGGTGATGGCACACAGGTGACTTGGTGATATGAAACCCATGGGGAATACAATTGAGATGAAAAAAAAATTGTATAAAATGATGTAAAAATAAACTATTATATCATAAAAAATAAATAAAAAATAATATAACATCTTACGTAATGTTCACCCTTCTCTTGTTACCATTGTTAGGTGGAAGTCTATTTTCTCAGTTAAAAGTATGCCTCTTTCAGGCCCTCTCTGGTGGCGCAGCGGGTTAAAGCACAGCACAAAGAAGCTTAAACCACTTCCCCATGAGTTCGATCCCCGCCTGCCCCAGAGGAGATCCACATGGCGCGGCAGACCTCTCCTGGCCCGCCCGCTGCTCCCCTCAGCAGTGTAATTAGTAGATCTTGCCTGTTCTGCTCCCCACTCTGTCTCTGGTGAATCCTCTCACCCTCCGCATCTCTGGCCTGTACCCCAGTTCTGTACGAATAAATAAATCTTTAAAAAAAAAAAGTATGCCTCTTTCACCTCTCTTGAGCTACCAACTTTACCAATGAGAAAACAAACTCAGAATATCAAAGTATTATCATATCGACAGATACACTTAGCAAGTGATAAAGCTGGGGCTTAATTCCAATGTAAATAAATCTATTCGTGCACATTTCTTTTCTTCTATGGTATACTGCCTTTTAACTAAAAAGTTTTGATATTCCCTAGTGCTTTTCTTTCTATTATCCGCAGATATGTTAATTCTTTGTACATGTGTAAGTTAAAAAAATTATCATGAATACCTTCTATTGTTTCAGGTAAAAATCCCTCTGCCTGAAAGATGCTAGAATCTAACAGCTAACATATAAATGAGAAAAAACTTTGGTAACACTTAAAAAGGAGCTGAGTGGGCAGTTGTGAGAAGAAACATGGATTACCTGAGTATCTCACAATAACAAATAATTCTATTGTTTCCACTTGTCCCTTGGATTATCACTGTCATTTACTTCTCATATATAAACATGTGTGTATAAATGTGTAATGTATTTATACACACAAGCAAACATAGCCGAATACACTTGCTATTATTTGAAACAAACTAATATTTATTAGGTTAAGATCAAGAAGTTCTAGTTTTACCTTCCCTTATTCTTTTCTCTGATGCTTTTCCTTTATGTAAATCTGATTTTCTGACATATTATTTTCATTGCCTCTAAAAATTTCTCTTCTTCTTCTTGCTAGAATGAGCTACAGGCAAAAATTCCTTCAATTTTTGTCTTATTATCTTTATTTATCAACTTTTAAAGTGTAATTTTGCAGGATACATTGTTCTATTTTGTGACTTTCTTAACACCTTAATTTCACTCTACTCTTCTTGCTTACAATGTTTCTAAGAAGCCAAATATAATTTTTATCTTTGTTTCTCCAAGGTCTCCAGGATTTTTTATTTCTGATTGTCAATAATTTCAAAAAATATGCCTGGTGTAATTTTTTGACATTTATCCTACATAGCGTTCTCCTATCTTCCTGTATCTTCAGTTTGGCATCTGATGTTAATGTGGGGGAAATTCTTGGTTGTTACTGTTTTAAATGTATTTTCTTTTCCTTTTTCTCTTTTCTTCTGTTATTCCCATTATGCATATTACACCTTTTCTCATTGGGCACACAGTCCTTGCATATTTTGCTAGGTTTTTTGCCAGTATTTTTTCCCCATTGGTTTAAGTTTTCAAGGATTTTACCGATATATTATCTAATTCAAAGATTATTTATTCAACCACATCTAATGCACTAACAAATTCATCAGAGGAATTCATTTGCCACTGTTTATTTTTTATTTTCAATCTCTAGCATTTTTTTTGTTTATGAATCAGTTTTTACATAGTTTACTTTATCCATTAAAGTCTTCAACACATAAATCACAGCTTTTTTATACTCCCTATCTGACCATTCCAACATCCCTATCATATCTGAGCCTGGTTCTGATGCTAGTTTATCTCTTGCAACTGTGTTTTCTGCCCTTTAATATATCTTGTAAGTTTTGTTTGATTGCCAGGCATGATATACTGGGTAAAGGGTAATGCTTTAAAGTAGGCCTTTGATAACATGGTGGTAAGGGGTTTGGGGTGATGGAGAGTTTTTGTATTCCTCTTTTTAGGTCTCAATCTATAAACTTTACACATGTTTCGCAGTCCATCCCCAACCCCTCAGGTAAGGCAAGATGACTAGAGTAGACTATACTGTTTGTTTTCCATTTCCTGTGAAAGGTCTAAATGACTAGAATTGGGCATTTCGCTTCCCCCATAATAAGTTATGGAAAAATTCCAACAGGTTAGGACTTCTAGCCTATTTCGCTTAAGGATAAGCCTTCTTAAGAGTGGAATGGCCTACTATAATCAAAAACGCTCCACTTTTCTCCCATCCTCTGCCAGAAACACAAAATGATTTTTCTCTGATATTCACTGAACCTAGTAGCAAGAGACAACTCACAAAGTATGGAGGTTTTTGGATGACTAGTTTCCCTGTAGTGTGTAACTGTTAGAATTGGCGACACTCAGTCCCCAAAAGTTGACAATTCCTATTCAGGTTTTCCTTACCAAGCACTAATTACTTCCTAACAATGTACAAAATTGAGAGGAGGTGATTTTCCTTATTCTTTTTTGGTCTGTTTCAATGGCAAAGATTTTTCCTCATGACCATTCCCCATAGATCTAAGAAAAACCAGTAAGCTTTGTAGTCAGTTTTCATTTGTTATTGGAATGGAGCAACAAATTCCAAACTTCTTACACGTCATATGAGAACTCAAAAGTCTGAATTTTCTTTTAAGAAACATTTTCCTGTACTGTAAATTTAAAATTTTATGTAGAATAAGAAAATAAATCCTAAACCCAATATTACATGCAATGAAATTATGCTATATAGTTTGCAAATTATTTATTACTCTTCACTTTCACTAACAATGCACATACTCATATTTCTAGATAGCTAGCCTAGATTGACACTGTTTCTATTCTCCTTAGCCTTTTAGTGAATCTGTAAAATCAACACCAGATTATAGGCATAATCCTTGAAATGTGTCTTTCAAACAAGCAACTAAATATATAGTTTACCATTTTGATGCCTGTAGAAAATGTCACTGGTTTTACAGGTTTAGGCTTCTCTAGTTGCAATTCCAATTGGGCAGATCTATCTTTGTGTTGAGCCAAAAGCAGAGCAACTGGGAGATCAGAACTCTCCTGTAAGAAAAGTTAAAATACAATATGAAAGTTATAAAGGAAAGCTGAAAGAGCAACAAATCTTTTATTTTAAATTATTCTTTGCCATAAGCATTTGATGTCAACCTAAACATCCACTTTCTGGAGAATACAAAAAATTTTACATTCTGTAATAGGAAAAGGCTGTTTTAAACTCATAAACCAAAATAACCTGTAAAAAGGTATTTTTATAAATCCACATTAAAGACAATGTAATAGGCTCTCATTTCATCTAGCAAAGCCCAGCCGTACTTACTAAAATAAAATAAATTAGAGGATAATCACAGAAAGAGTAGTAAAAAGTACTAACTTAGATCAGATGTTTATCTAGGACTTCTTTTTACCAGTGAAATCAAGCCAGTTTGAAATTGTTTCCCATTAGATTTCACCTGAGGCTGTTTGGAAATAATCTTTGTTCTGTTTTTTACAAGGGGACTATTGTTAGGTATAACCAAAAGTAAATTTCTTGTCTCATTTACTGACTTATTTTCAGAAATTAAAACTACCTTTTTTTTTAATAAAACTGATGGTAGCCATTTCAATATTTTCTATTGATACTAAATCAGGACCTCTATAACACAAATATTCATAAATATATAAATAATACAAGCAAATTACTTATTCTTATATGTAGACTGTTGTTTATCCTATTTAACATGAAGTTCTCTTACAAATTTGACGTGTATAGAGCTCAGATCTAAACTAAATGATATCCAGATTTTTTACTTTCTGAGTTGTCAGTTAAACAAGAACACAGAAACATGTGTAGAGGGAGGTCAAGACATAAGGAGATCACATTCTCTCTTACACACACGCGCGCGCATGTAAATGAACATGTATGTAAAGAAAAATGAAGTGATAAACACATTTCTATCTTCTATAGTAAGGTTCATAATCTTCAAATGGCCTTCAGTTTTTTTTTTAATAATAAGTACAAAATTTCTGAGAAATTATATTGCTAACCTTTCACAGTATAAAAGTAAATATATAGAAGAATCCAATTTTCTTTCCAAATGTAACAACTTTTATGCACAAATGTGGCTAATTATTATATTTTAATAAATTGTTTTAAGGTTGAAGTACAGAAATAATACAAGTAACAATCAATTTAGCAAAGAGAACTGTCCTGGAAAAAGGCTTTATAAAAGAGATGACTTACAAAAGCAGTGCTACAAATATTAATATTTTTTAAAAGTAAATATAAGAACACAAATTTTATTTATAAAATATAACCTTACAAAGGAGCAAAATCACTATAACCTGGCTTTAGCAATAAAGAAGAGTTTGAATGAAAAACACTGAGACTATACTTGAATACCTTTCATACTCTACAACAAAACATTAGTATACACTACTGAAAGCTGTGAATTTCTGTAGATACTCAAGATTTACATTAAGAATTTTATAATTAGGCCTTCCCTGGTGGCACAGCAGCTTAAAGCACAGCAGTAAGAAGCTAAAGCCACTTCTGCATGAGTTCAATCCCCAGCCCTGGAGGTGACCCACATGGCACCACAGACCTCTCCTGACCCACCTGCTGCTCCACTCAGCAGTGTACTTCAGCAGTGGGCCTGTTCTGCTCTCCACTCTGTCTCTGCAAATCCTCTCACCACCCCTGCACCTCTGGCCTGTACCCCCATTCTGTATGCATAAATAAATAAATCTTTTTTGTAAAATTATAATTAAATGTAAAAATGAAAGGACTATTTAAATGACCTGTGGTCTAAAATATCTTTTAAAACCTATTTTCTTTTGATATCTGGAAACTAATAGAAGAAAAATTAATTTCCTTTGCAAAAATGTTAAAACATTGCTTCCCAAATTAAACTCTAAGTGAATCCAAATATTCCTCCATAGTTGACATTTATTCTGAACAGTAAAGTTTCCTGTGTAAAATCAAGTCAATTGCTCACTTCAAAAAAGTGGCTAAGGGCCTGTTTTAATCCTCATTTCATTTTCACATAAAAGGATATAAATATTCAAAAGTCTTGGCTAAACAACTAAAATTTAATAAAAACAAATGTTCCAGGCACCTAACACTAATTTTGACACTAAGGCACACAATTTATTTCAAATCTGACTTATGCCAATGTGCCGCTCAAAACTTTAGAAGAAATATTTGTAAATGTTAAAGTAGATTTAAGCATAGCTGAAACATTTAAAAGGAGAGAAAGAGAGAGAGAGATTTGGGAAATAAACTGTGTGAAACACACATACTCCCTGGAATACATAACCTGCAGGTTCAGTCTTTCAAGTTATTTCATTCTTCTTAGTTTTCCATTTTTAATGTGAAAGTTTCCCTAACCTACATTAATTGCCTAAAGGTATACTGCTTCATACTTAAAGAAATTTAATAAGACTGCCTATAATACTCATTAAAAGTTTACAATGACCATTTTTAAAAGATTATTTTAACTGACTTTAAGTAAGCCATCTGGCAAACAATATTTCTAATAAAAGTCTGCTACTGTGTTTGACAACAATATTAGCTCATACAAAATTTAAGACATTAACTGATAAAAATTTCAAAATCTTCCAAACTGTTAAAACACTGAATTTACAGACAGAATTAAATAGATTTTTTTAACAACATTATGATAAATGCTGTCATAAAAGGCCGTTAACATTAAAATCTTGTCACATATATTATAATAATGTCAATGCCTTTTAAGAGGTTAAAAAGTGACTTTTAGCACAAGGATCAAGCCAAAAATAGAAATTCTAAGTAGTACTTGTTGCTGTTATTAAATCCAGAATTTTAAGATTGATACTTCCAAACATATTTACAAATGTCAATATTTTTAAGTAAAATCTAACACATGAACTTATATAGGAAAAAGATACTTTTTACTTTTTAAGAAATTACTTTTTAAGAAATCAGGAAGATAAAAGGAAATTTAATTAGCACTTTCAAATTAATAAAAGCTAAATGTATGCTAAGATTTAAAAAAAAAATAAATTTTAATAAATATTCATAAATTAAAATAACAAAGTACTTTTAAAAATAAATTAAAAAATGGAAACCAGAAATTCAACCTGCAGTGGTATTCTAAACCAATCTGTTGTGATTAATTGTTCTAATGAGTACAGTAAATTGCTAAGGATTATTTAACCACTATGTTACATGATCTAAAAGTAAAAAAAAAAAGTATGTGCAGTAATGACTTGCAGGTGAGGAAAACAGGAAATGGGGGGTTGGGGGGTTTCCTCACAAAAACCAATATTAACTCCAGATTATACACAATGTACAACACTGGCAATTTCACATCTTGCTTCATGCCCCAATGAAGTAAAGGAGTGCTTCATGCCAACAGTAATTAGGTGAGGCAGCAAAATAGAACTTTTCAAGACTAAAAGATGCAAGAATATTTGCTATGCAAAGCTAGCTAACCTCAAAATAAAATATATAAACCTTGATGTTAAATGGAATGTTTTTTACATATATTTTTCTTTTTCCCTCAATTCTCTATTTGGAATTAATGTATAGAGACATATCATCAAAGAAAACTGTACTCCTCTTTGTATAAAATAATGTGAAAAAGAACCTTTTAAGAATTATAACATCAATGCTTACTTGTTGATTCTTTTAAGTTTTCAATTTCTCATAAAAATGTCTACAAAAAATGTAAAATATGACATGGATCATTTCAACTGTTAAAGTCATACCTGCTACTTAATGATTTCAAGAAAAATTAATATAATTTCCTAAGGAAAACCCATTATCCTACTTTATATGCAGTTGTCCT